GTAGAGGGAGCTGTGTGGTGGCCGGGAAGCACTCATGCCCATGTTGGGTGCTGTATAACCCTCCAGGTACCTCCTTATGCCCAGCAGTCCAGAAACCCTTTTACTGAGCTTAATCTCCAATCCCAGACCATCCCCACTCCCCCTCCTTGCCAGTGGCCAGTGTGTGGGACAGATAGTTCCAGCCCTCTAATTACGTGGCCCGTCTGATGACTGGCCTTACTTTCACTCCCTGCATTAGTGTAGAGTCAGACATGATCACGTAGCTCATTGGGAACAACAAAAGATACTCCTCTCATGCAGGTCATTTTGAGGGTTTTAGGAGCTCTTTGGCCTACCTGCTCACTGATTATTTTCCTCCCAAGGCCTACAGCCGGATTAACTACAGGACAAGTGTACCTTTCTCAGTAGAGTAAGACTGAATAGTGTTAGGGACATCTGTGGGGTGTATTATGTGGACATTTGGACATTATCGAGGACTCTGCTATGTAGTGCATTTCTCTGAGAGGCCCTTAAACTATCTGCTGTGCTAGAAATGGAGAGAACTACAATTATTCCTCACAGTCCTGATGATGTCCATGAGGAGAGAATCTTTTGTGGACTTTTCCCTTGAATATCCATTCCTGTAGTGAGGTTTACAACCTTAAGTGATTGCTGTGCTGATGATTGTACAAATTGCTCTGAACACCATTCAATCCGTCTGTGTGGGTGAAAACTTGACATTGAAGATGGAAGGATTACATCCAGCACTTTCTCTGGAGGTAGACCAGAGATGGTCTGTCTGTCACTCTCTAATGGGTGATTCTGGACAGTTTTTGCCAGCTTCAAGCCTCAGTGTCATACCAAGAGAATTGACCCCATGAAGGTCATACAGAAAGTCTGTAAAGCAGTGCCTGGCACACACCAGCCATGTGGTTCTTACTTGGAATATTTGCCTTGAGTATAAGGAAGACTGAAACAACAGTTTCTTGCCTAAATCGGACAATTTATGCATAGTTTCAAACAGAAATTTAGGGGGAAAAAAGAAAGGAAGCAATTTCTGGAAAATACCACTTACTAGAAAATTCCCTCTGTTTTCCACGGGGTTTCTTTGCCCTGTACCTAGTTCCTTGCATTCTTTTTTTTTTTTTTTAGTAAATTATATTTCTGTTATCTTTTAAGTGTTTTACAAAGGGGTTACCATTCCACGAGTTCCTTCCATTCTTGAGAAGCCTGTGAAAGGAAGTATGGTTGACAGACTGTTGGCAAGTATAGGACGTTGTCTTTTACACAATGTATTAGAGCTCTGAGTAATGCACAAGGAAGAGATACAGTTGGCTTTTCATGCCCAAAGGCTCCACATCAGGAAATTCAGTCCACCGCAGATTGAAAGTGGTCTGAAAAACTGAATCTGCTGGCCACTGCTGGCTTTTGTAACCCTAGCTACTCTGGAGGCCGAGATCTAAAGATCACAGCTCAAAGCCAGCTAAGGCATGAAAATCTATGAATCTCTTATCTCCAGTTCATTATCAGCAAGCCAGGAGTGTGGCTTGAGTGGTAGAGCTTTAGCCTTGAGTGAGAAAGTTTAGGGATAGCACTCAGGCACTACCATCTCCAGTACTGTTGTGCATGCGTGTGTGTGTGTGTGTGTGTGTGTATGTGTGGTGTATGTCTGTGTGTATGCATGCATATGTGCATGCGTGCACAGTCAAATTGCCTTTGTGCTGAGACATATATAATTTTCTTGTTGTCAGTCCCTAAGCCTGCTGTAGAACAACTATTTTCATCTAATTTACATTCTATTTGGTGCAGTTATTTATAGGAGGATGTTGGTAGGTCCTATGCAAATTCTGTGCCCTTTCATATAAGTGAGTTGAGCATCTGTGAATTTTGTTATTTTCTGGAGGTGCTGGGACCAGTTCATCTGTGGGTCTTGGACAACTGTTTATTATTCATCAAAACTTAGCTTATTGTTCCTTGATGATATTTTTGTCAACCAAATTAAAATGGGTGTGTGTGTGTAAGTGCTGATGGTTGTGCAATGTTACGCTGTGTCTTCTCATCACAGGAAAACAGAAGTGTTCCCAAGGGACACAATGCTGAAGTTTATTCCCTGGTGTTGTAGACTTGGAGGTTAGCCCAGAGACAGGGACACGAGCCTACTCATGCATGTACATGTGTATTTTCTGTCAGCCCCATAGCTCTACCCTCCTCAGCATGGGTGTGAGTGATGTTTGCATGTTAACTAGGGTCTGTGCTCAAACACTTCACTCAAAGCAAGCAGAAGGATTGTTTTCTACTTTTTTCCTAAGAGGTAAGAATGAGTCATAGGAATTTATGAAAGCACGAGAAACACAAGTGTACAAAAACCAAGCATGGATAATGATTTAATACCTCTCCTCCTGGAATCATCTTACAATTTGAGATTTCACTTTTTAGGCAGTCATCATTTTATAGGTGATTAATTTTCACAGGCAACTAAATTTTTGTTTATGAAAGTTTAGTACTCTTCAGTGCTATTATTGTTGACCTTGGCTTTATACCTTTCATGTTTGTTTTCCCTTTATTTTTTGTTTATAATTCAAGGTTTGATAAAGAGGAAATGAAGAGTAAGTTGGCTAATTATTGTATATTTTGTATGCAGTAAAGCATGAAATTATAAATGGCACTGTGTAACTTTATTAGTCCCCTTTCTATTACTATAATGGAATACCCGAAGCGCAGTGTTTGCTAAAGATAAGAGGTTGCTTTAGCTCACAGTTTTGAAGCTGGAAAGTCTGAGATCAGGCAGCCACATTGATCTGGCCTCGGGTGAGGGCCCACGTGGCTGGGTCATGAGTTTCACAGTAGGTGACGTCATGGTGGGAGTATGTGTGAAAAGGAAACATAAGAGGGTAGGATGAGAAGCCAGGAAGCAGTCTGTGAGTCAGGTGCTCTTGCATACTGCTCCCCTGCCCCCCCCAGTCCCCATTGCTGGAGATTTATTCCAAGGCTTTATGCATGGCTAGGTAAGTGTCTACCGCTAAGCTATAGCCCCAGTCTGCTCTTTTTTGTTTTCTAAATAAAACAAACACTCTCTTGAGAACCAACAGGATTCAAGAAGAATCGTAATCAGTTCTTTGCTGGGACAGTCCCCCAGTGCCCTAGTCCCTTCCCTCTAAGTTCCCCGACCCCCTATGTCATCACACTGGGGGCCGAGCTTCTAACAAATGAATCTCTGGAGACTCACCCCTATCCATACCGTACCATTATCCTAAACTCATGATGTGGAGGGATACTAATTTCCTGAATTCTCATTATTATCCAAAAGGAACTAAGACTGCCGCTGTGAGTTCTACCTCCATATGTTTCACAGAGTAATGTGGCTGTCTTCCCTTAAAGGCTGGGAACTGTGGATCTATTTCAGAACATTTTTTGTAATTACAAATATTTTACATTTTTTCCTTTCTTTTTCTTCTTCCTTTTTTTAGGTCAAAAGTTGCGTCCCCAAATGCATTTGGGCCGGATGCAGGTCCCTCACATCTGTAATCCTAGCTACTCAGGAGGCTGACATCTAAGGATTGAGGTTCAAAGTCAGCCAGGGCAGGAAAGTCTGTGAGACTGTTATCTCCAATTTAGTGCCACAAAAGCTAGAAGTGACGCTGTGGCTCAAGTGGCAGAGTGCTGGCCTTGAGCTAATGAGCTGAAGGACAGCATCCAGGCTCAGAGTTCAAGCCCCATGACCGACCGAAAAAACACCAAAAACCAAAACTCAGGGATAGTGCCCTATACTGGCACACTCACACAAAAAAATGCATCTGGACATTCACGCAGATGGAAGGGCTAAGAAAGTTCTTTATTTTTATATAATTTTTGTAATAATTATATAATGTATATTTTTTTCAAAACAAAACAAAGTACAACACCTTCCCTCCCATGCATTCTTAAGGGTTGTCCAGAAAAGACAAAAATTGTATTGTAGGGGAGAGCCCCCAGTCTTGCTCTCATCTACAAAGCACACACATGCCTGTGGAGCACAGCAGATGTGTAATAGATGTTCAGTATTGCACTTTTGTAGGAAGATGAGGAGGGGCAAAAAAAGGTGAGCAAATGCTCTTGGGTGGGGCAAGAAGGAAAGGAACACAGTGGGTAAACTGAGGTAAACTTTCAATATCAGTGAGCCCAGCAGTAGTGTTGGTGATGTCATTTGAATATGAAATATTAAATGCTGGCTTTGGTTCATGTCGTAAATAATGATTTCTTAAAATCTTCCTCTCTAGAGAATTTATTGTGGTTACAACACTGCTTTCATAATCGATGGAAAGGATTAGAAGTCAGTACAAGCATTTGGCCTTGCTGATTAAATAGTCAAGAGACACTCAGCATTCAGTTCAGCTTTTTTTTCTTGAACTTACCGGCTCCTTGTGAGGTGCAAAAAACCCAGGGTGGGGGGTGGGGGTGAGGCGAAAGTAGGGTGACTGGTGAAGCTTAGATTCGGTTTGTTTTTGTTGACAGTCTAACCTTATATTTTTAAAGAAATAGAACATTTCAGGGGCTGGGAAGGTGGCTCAGTGGTAGAGCTCTTGCCTTGCATGCACGAGGCCCTGGGTTCCATTCCTCACCACCACATAAGCAAAAAGAAAAAAAGCCGGAAGTGGTGCTGTGGCTCAAGTGGTAGAGCGCTAGCCTTGAGCTGAAGAGCTGAGGGATAGCGCCCAGGCCCAAAGTTCAGGCCCCATAACTGGACCCCCCCCCAAAAAAAAAAGAAATATAACATTTCAAGTCTGTATTATGTAACTTGTATGTGGTGCTCAACATAAAGTGAAGGTATTTGTTCAACTTAAGGACTTACGGGGCTGTAGCAGACCTAAGCCAGGAGCCCCCTTGGGAAAATTAACCTTCTCCTTTCCTGTCCCAGGGCCCTGGGCTCCATCTGTGTGCTGTAGGACTTGAATGAGGTTTGTCCACCAGCTGTGCTAATGTGCTAATTCTAGGATTGCTCATTCATCCCTTTGTAACTCTCCACTTTTCTTTTTATTCCGTAGCAAATGCAGATGTTCTCAAGGCAATGGTGGCGGACACCACCCTGGGTGATGCTGAAAGGTTAGTGTGTGTCCCCCTCCCCCCACCCCCCACCCCCCATCCACCTGCTGCCACAGAAGAGACAGTTCTGGGGAGTTGCTCAGTTTTGCTGCCGCAGGCCCCCAGTTTCAGCATCAATGATGTTTGAGGCAGACCATTCTCCACTAGGGCTCCCGTCTGGGGCATGGTGGGATGTGTATCAATATCTGGGTCCTCCTCTCTCTAGATGCCAGAGCACTGTCCCTCTGCCCCTTCCCCCACAGGGTGTGACACCCCCAAATACGTAGACTTTGTCAGTGACTCCCTGGGGGAATATCACCCTGGCTAACGATTGTTGTGGTAAAGATAGTGCCAGGAGAACAGAAGTCTGCATTCTTAGCTGCGGGTCAGATTTGCATTATGAGCCAGTTCCTTAATAATTTTATTGGACAGATAAGGATGTACTTTTTAAATCGTGAGTTCAGATTGTTCTTTCTAGGTCAGTGGGGAGAAGGGACAGGGTACAGTAGTTTTCAGATAGGGCTTTTCAAGTGAGACATAGGGATGGGGGGGGGAGAGAGAGAGAGAGAGAATAGAGGGGGTTGGCTTCAGAGCTGGGAGACTGGCTGCCCATTCTTGGTCAAGTCAGAGGACTACTGTTAGCTCCAGTTCCATCATCTAGAATGGAGATAGCCATTGGATTATTCTAAATACAAATACACCGAAAGACCTTTATTAATGGCAGGTAAATGGACACTGAGGTTGGTTAGCATACCACCTGCTCTGTGCTGTTTTTGCTTTACTGCTTTCAGGAATCTGGAACTCCCCAATTCCTCCATCACCACGTTGCCTCACCAGCAATTACTGATAACTGTTTCTATGCAATTGGCCATTTCTCCAACAAGGAGCATTGTTTGAGGGCTGGCTCTGCACTCTCACCAGAAAGAGACTTGCCCGGAGAGACACTCATCTTCTGAGATGAGCGTCTCATTTACAGAGGCTCCTGGGAACGGGGGAGGGGAACCAAAGGAAGGTCAGGGAGGTCTGCAGAAGAGGCCACCCGGAAGCAGATGTTAAGAGAGGCAGAGGCTGGTTGTATGTAGAAGAAGGTCCAGAAGGAGAGTGAGGGAGCAGTGTGGGACATACCTGGGAGTGCTTGGTCTGGGGTGACCAGAGGTGGCGCTGTAGGCAGTAGCCAGATACACCCGCATGACAAGGGAGGTGGGAGGGTCCTTTCCTGTGTGGACCAGGTGCCCAGCGCACCTTCAGTATTGATGTGTCCTTGAAACTGGCTGTGTTAGATGTACTGTTTAGAGAGGTGACTCAGGGTGCTGGAAAGTGGAGGTAGGAATCTGGCAATGTTCAGACATGAGCTGTGACTTCTCCCACTTGGAGCACTGACATCCAGTGTTAGGATCATATTAGCTCCTGGTGTCCTTGTCTCAGTCATCACTGGGTGTCACTGGGTATTGAACCTGATAGATAAATACCTGTTGAGTGAGTGCAGTTAAATTCAGGAACTTCACTTTCTAAGAGTTGTTGTCAGGTTGACGTAGGTCTCCTGGGAAGGCCTGTACAATTTCTTTCAACCATTTAAAGGGCCTGGGAACTTCTGGCTGTCTGTACTGTTTAGATTGTCTCTTCATTCATGACCTGCACCTCTTTAAAAGTGTGTAGGTGCTGGGTGCCAGTAGCTCACCTCTGTAATCCTAGCTGCTCAGGAGGCTGAGATCTGAGGATTGCAGTTTGAAATCAGCTGGGGCAAGAAAGTCTATGAGACTAAGTTCCAACAAGCTACCAAAAAGTGGAGCCATGGCTCGAGCAGTAGAGCTCTAACCTTGAGCTAAAGAATCTCAGGGACAGTGCCCAGGCCCTGAATTCAAGCCCCAGATCGGTCGGTCTGTCTGTCTGTCTGTCTGTCTGTCTGTCTGTCTGTCTCTCTCTCTCTCTCTCTCACACACACACACACACACACACACACATAGTGTGCAGGTCAAAGATCAGCTGTCTTTCTTGGTTTCTGGCATTGCCAGCAGGCTCTTGCTGTGTCTCAAATGTCAGGTCTCAGATATGAGGCTTTGTGGGGCTGCCTGGCCTACACCCATATGTACACATGGCTGGTTCCAGATCAGTCTGCCTCGGTCCTGTTCTGATACCCCCTTTAGTTAGGAACGCCTTTTGAAAGCAGCCAGCAGCTGGCCTGTACATTTTTGCTTTTTATGTATTGGCTCATCTGGGTAAGTGTTTTTAGATTCCCAGAGTCTGCACTGTGGATGAAGCACTGGTGGATTTAGTGTGTTTTTGGAACTTAGCTCTCTAGTTTTGGGATACACTTATCTGCTGTGTGGCCTTGTCTAGTTTATCTAAACCTTGATGTTCTCATTTTTTAAAAAATGAATCAATAGGGGCTGGGAAGGTGGCTCAGTGGTAGAGCGCTTGCCTTGCATGCATGAGGCCCTGGGTTTGATTCCTCAGTACCACATAAGCAAAAAGAAAAAAGCCGGAAGTGGCACTGTGGCTCAAGTGGTAGAGCACTAGCCTTGAGCAGAAGAGCTGAGGGACAGCGCCCAGGCCCAGAGTTCAGGCCCCATGACCGGACCCCTCCTCCCCCCAAAAAAAGAATCAATAGTATCCACATCATGAGAGTAAATAAAAGGTCCATGTAAAATTCATGGCATGGCTTTTGAGATCTTGATTTTAAGCTTTCTTCCTTTGATAACAATAGTCGGATTGGATCGTATCTATCAAGTCATCTGATAACTAAATTTCAATTTAATTTGCAATTAATTTGCAATTTGCAATTTTTCTTTTTTTTTCGGGGGCACATATGTCAGGGCCTTTCTCTGCTTAGAGTTCTAGGCAGATTTTCAACTGCATGTGAGAAATTAATGTGACTGTATGAGAAGGGAGAATTTTTGTTTGTGTGCCAGTACTGGGGCTTGAACTCAGTGTCTCCAAGCTAACACTTGGCCTTCTTGCTCAGGTCTAGTGCTCTACCCCTTGAACCACAACTCCACTTTTGGCTTTTTTGGTAGTTAATTGGAGATAAGAGTCTCACCATCTTTTCTGCCCTGGCTGGCTTTGAACATGCTTCTTAGATCTCAGCTTCCTTAGTAGCTAGGATTATAGATGTGAGCCACAGGCACCTAGGGAAATTTTTGAAAGGAAATTTAATAAAGTGAAACTACATCATCATTAGAAGCATTGGTTTATCTGCAGCCAATGAATTCCATTCTGGAGGTGACAAACCCCTGTCCTTGGACGGTCCTGATTGCTGAGTGCAGCTACCATCGATGGTCAGTTCAGAGTCCATCTGTATAACTGGGAGATAGATGCATTTTTGAATTTTGGTTTAAATTGAGTTCTTAGGTCCTGGGGGAGGGGCTGCGTTTGCTGGTATTTAAGTAACCAGTTTTACTCTTTCCTTCTCCTATTTCTCCCTCCCGCAGCCCCATGACGCCCAGCACTCCTGGAAGCCCACCTGTGAGCCCTGGACCCTTGTCCCCAGGGGGCACCCCTGGGAAGCACATCTGCGGTCACCACCTACACACGGTGGGTGGCGCTGTGGAGCGCGATGTGTGCCAGCGGTGCAGGCACAAGCGATGGCACTTCATAAGACCCACCAACAAGGCTAAGGACAGCAGACCACGGCGCCAGGGGGAGGTGACCGTCCTCTCTGTGGGCAGGTAAGGCCCTGTTGATGCTTCTAGTGGGTATGGCATGGTTCGGTGGTTACAGATTTGTACTCCTCCCTGGGGAGCACATCCAATAAGCCTAGGAGGCTGCTTAGCTGTTTTCTGGTCTGAGTCCTGGGCATCTTCAACATCAGCAGAATCTTGAAAGAAGCATCCCACTGAGTGCTAGATCAGAGTAATTACGATGGAGTAATTAAGGTAAATGATTAATACTAGCTGTCACAGAGCCCACCCTCTTCACCTTTATCTGTCTATTCCTTTTAGGGATATCCACAGTAGAAGATTGGGGGAGGGGAGGTTCAGTGGATGGCTCAGTAGCTATGGAGAGTCCCAGGTCCTTTCCAGGTCTCTGTAGTCTAGAGAAAGGCTCTCCCAGTACATGCACGGTTCTTCTGCATGTGCTAGACAGGCATGGGAAGGCGCGTGTGACTGGAAGACCTCAGTGTTGAGGGGCACGGCGAGGGAGAGGGGCATATAGCTATGACCAACATGTAGTGTGTTTTGCAGTAGGTCCCAAGGCCCACGCAGGGCTGGCTTGCTAATGCTGCATCTGGAAAGACCACACGTATTGCACAAGTCACAAGGAGAAGAAAATGGGCTGTTTGCCATTTCTACCAAAACAGCATAACTCATGACCAGTGTTTTATTAGGAGGCAAGAGTCATGGGAATTTATGAATGCAAATGAATGAGAACCTGTAGCTCTTAGGACAAAGCACATTTTGTTCACTTGGAAAAAAAAAAGAATCTGCTGAAAATTTTAACTCAGATTCAACATGCATTCTTCAACGCCGCACATCCAGCTGTGAGCCTTGGATGATTCCATGTAGAATCCTTCAGAGCATCTTCCAGTACCACAGGCTGGATCTGTGCTTCAACTTTGCCTTGTTCTTTCTTTCTCTTTCTACACCCTTCCCCTGGACCTCCCAAGGTGGGTGACCTCACTTTGTACACAGAAGAAGAATTTTATTTTAGAACATTTTATTTAGAAAGACATTGCTATTGAAAGCTCTTAGGGAGTTGCAAATTGTCTAGGAAAATAGTCGAGTTGAGTAAATTGCTTTTAACTTCACTTTTACTTCCCAAGGAAGATCTCTTCTTTAACTTTTTTCATCTCTTCTTTAACTTCTTTAATTTTTTTCTTGAATGCTTAAAAGAAAATCAACCCAGTTTTATCTTTAAAAGAAGAAAGAAATCTCCCAACCAGTGCTGGTGAAATACACTGTTGGGTTCTTTTGGCTTTCTCTCTTTGTCTCAGTCTCTCTCTGTGTTCGGGTGTCTATATGTCTGTCTGTATATCTCCTTGTCTTTATCTCTCTCTGTGTGTTCAGCTAAGTCTGTCTGACAGGTGTATGTTTTCTGAGGCCATTATCTAGCAATGGTTTTGCTTATGTCATTCTAATTTGAAACCAGTTACGTTTTCATTCAGCCTCCTGTGGTTAAGGCTCATGCCACTGCTGGAGATCACAGTGCTGAGCACCCGTGTTTTCCAGTGCGGTTTGTCTGCTCTCTGAGTAACCTGCGTGGTCAGTGATGCAGTGGATGGGCATCAGCTGGCAAGGTGGGAGGGGCTGCCTGGGTGTGCCCTTCCTGTTGAGTTCTTTTTTTTTTTTTATTGCTGCCCTAGTTTTTGGTTGTTTATTTGAGGTCTTTGAGCTGGGTACTTTAAAAAAATATTTATTTGTAATTCTGTTTTCCTTTCCTGTGCTGGGAACCCACAGCCTTGTCACATGCTGGACAAGTGCTTTGTCCCCGGGCAACAAACCCAACTTATTCCCTCTTAATAATTGTTTACTGGAAAAGCAAAATCCACCAGATCTTCCCTTCCTCTCCTCAGGTTTAGGGTGACAAAAGTGGAGCACAAGTCAAACCAGAAGGAGCGGAGAAGTTTGATGTCCGTTAGCGGGGCCGAGAGTGTCAACGGGGATCTGCCTGTGACGCCCGTGAAGAGAGAACGAAGCGGCACGGAGTAGCAGGTGAGCTGTATTTTGGGTGACATGGTGACGCGGGAGAAGGTACTAAAGGCCTCCCTGGACCGTGGTCATAGACACTGACACTTGTCAGGGAAATGGTAAAGCGTTTCTGAAATTGGTCAGGAGGAGGGGAGTCAAACATGATTACCTGATTAGAGCTTCTCCTAAAGACTCTGCAAACTCAGTCCCTCCAGACCCTTGGCTTGTAATGAGCATAGAAGTATTGCCTAGGTTGCAATATGCCGTGGTAGGGATTGTATCAAATTAGAAATCACATCACCCATTGGTAAAGGCTTCCATTAGCATAAGACAGGAAATATCTAGTGTTCCTATATTATGAGTAAAAAAAGTGTCAAAATCCAGATTTTCACATTTTATGTGAAATCACCACTTTTTTTTGTTGATTTGTTTGCTTGTTTTTTCTTCTTCTTTTTCTTTTCCCCCCTTTAAAAATGTTATTATAAAGGCAGTGTATGAAGGGTTAGTTACATAACTCAGGAAATGAGTACATTTCTTTTTGGACAGTATCACCCCTTCCTCTACTCTCAGTTTTTCCCTCCCATCCCTACTCACAAGTTGTATAGTTCATTTTCAACATATTGCCTAGTGAGTGTGACTGCTGCATTTGTTCACCTTTTGTTCCTCCATTTCTGTGCCTCCCTCCACCCCCACCATATCTTTCTCTTTCTCCTTCCTTCCTTTCTTCTTTCCTTCCTCGCTTCTTCCTTCCTTTCTTCCCTCTTTCCCTCCTTCCCTCCCCTGCTTCCCTGCTTCCCTCCTTCCTTTTTTTTTTGTTGGTCATGGGGCTTGAACACTGGGCCTGGGTGCTGTCCCTCAGCTCTTCAGCTCAAGGCTAGTGCTCTACCCCTTGAGCCGCAGCACCACTTCTGGTTTTCTGAGTGGTTTATTGGAGATAACTGACATCCTCAGATCTCAGCCTCCCGAGTAGCTAGGATTACTGATGTGAGCCACCAAGCCTGGCTCTTTCTTTTGATTTTGAACTCATGGCCTTGCATTTTTAGGTAGATGCTCTACCACTTCTTTGCTTTATTGTTTGAAAAGATTTTTTTTTATGCCCAGGCCAGCCTGGATGCAACCCCCCCTAATTTTATGCTTCCTTTGTGGCTGGAATGACAGGTGTGTCCCACCACACCTGCTTTTTATTGGTTGAGGTTGGGTCTTGTGAACTTTCTTCCCGGGCTGTTCTGGTACTGTGAGCCTCCCTGTCCCCTCTCTGAGTAGCTAAGGATTACAGGTGTGAGACACAGGCCTGTACCACAGGGGCTTAAATGTTGGTAGCTTATTAAATTTCTTGCAAAAGTCAAAGTATCACGCATTCTCTTTGTATCCCTAGGAAAATTGTAATTTGAAAATATATGAAGCAGGTAAACCAGTGCTTTTTTTTCTTCTCCTTTGAATTGGAAGCCAGTTTGATTTAGTGTATGACATCAAAGCAGACACCTCTGTAGGGACATTACTCTGAAATATACTGCGTAACAATACTGTTGTTTCCACCAAATATGTGGGATCAATAGAAAAGCAGAGTTGTCTTCGCAACTTTAATTTTGGAACACAACACTTGAGACAAATAAAAGAATCCCTTGATGACTCGATGGTGGCTGGCTCACACCTCTCCTTTTTTGGCTTAAGGAACATTCATCCTTTTTATGCTTCTTATATGCAAAAGAGTGAGGATTCCATGAACAAAAAGGAAGGGATGGGTGGAGCAGGGGTCACTGGAAAATAACAAAGTTGAGCCGAAGCCCTGGGATCCAGCTGCCGGGTTCCACTCCCATCTGCCTTTCTGACAGCAGGACTTGGGTGAGGTATCCTATCCCGCTTTTGATGCCCACTTGGCAAATGGAACCTATCATCCTATCCCGCTTTTGATGCCCACTTGGCAAATGGAACCTATCAGCTTAGTTGAAGGGGGCAGCAGTCTTTCATGGAGTAGCCTGGCTGCCCAGGGCTTGGCATGTTGGAGGTGCTGGTCAGGGTTGCTGCTTTTGGTAGGTGGGCTGAGTGCACAGGAGACTTGGAATCTGACATCTGCCAGGCACCGAGGGGCTGAAGGTGTCTGGAGGTTTTTCATAAGACACAGGCTTGCCTGATAGCTAAATTACCTTCGAAGTATCTCAAAGGTAAGTAAGAAGGCTTTAGAAGCCTTTTGAAGAGGAGAAACACACAGAAAAGTCTTGTCTTGGGCCTCACAGCCAGTTCTGGTGGCCTTGGGAAGGGAGCCGGGAGGAATTCGGAAGTCAGAGTCAATTCTGCTGGCGGTCCTCTAGTTGTTGTGCTGATAGACATCTGCCTCATCATCATGGTAAACATCTAATGGGTTGATGTAGTCATCCAGTTTTGTGGATGAGGGAACTGAAGTATGTAAAGGGTACTTTACTTATGGTTACAGGGCTAGGGAGAGGAGCTCAGATTGGGTCTCTAATGACAAGATCAGTCTCACCCACCAGCCAACAAGTATGGCCAGGAACAGGTAGCCTGGGACCATGGATGGGGAGCATGTCTACCCATGGTGGAGGAATTCATGGTCTAATATGGTAGCTACTGCTCATACGTGGCTACAGAATTTAATTAACAATAAAAAGGTACTTCTGCAGCTGCACTAGTCACAAGCCAGTGCTCAGTAGGCACAGTTGGTGAGGCTCTTCCCCGTTTGGGCAATGGAGACTCACAATTGAACATGAGGTACCTGAGGAATTGGATTTGGGCTGCTGAGTGACCTTGGCCAATGACAGAATCATTCTGATTGAAGGTCAGGGAGGACTGGCCTGTCTGGGAACTGAAGCTTCTGACCACTTAAGTCTAGGACAAGGAAGGCCCAGCCAGCTCCGCTGAGACCTGTGCTCGTCAGAATGGGTCATAAGGACAGTGACCACGTGTCCATCTGCAGGTTGTCCTTAACCAGCCAGTCATGGCTCAGTGGCAGGCAGGAACTGCAAGGTGATCCTCTTGTCACACTCAGCCCTAATGAGAACCAGGCCAAGGTTTGCAAAGGTTAAAAGAATTAGGGTTGCTCAGCTGGCTTTCTTGGTGTCAGTTCTGTCTCTGTCTGACTACAGAAATTGGATTCAGTCATCTGAAGTCTTTACCATATAGATCTGCGTTATCATTTGTTAATCTCTGCCAAGCTTCCCCATGTGAAAATGGTGCTATCTGCCAGTACCTCCTCTTTCCGTTAAGTGTGAGGATACAGAGTCTAGGGTACAGTTGACTGTCAGTAGATAGTGGCCACATACTGTTGTCCCATCCACATTAGTAAAGGGCAAAATAATAGTGGCCTTAGAAAGGGAATGTATTGGTAGCTGGGGACATGGCTCAGGTGGTAGAGCACCTGCCTAGCAAGCTGAGTTCAATCCACAGTGCTGCCAAAAGAAAGAAGTACAAAAATGTATAATTTTGAAATTCAAAAGAAAAAAAAATAAGGTGCTGGTGGCTAATGCCTGTAATCTTAGCTACTCAGGAGGCTGAGATCTGAAGATCTTTGTTTGAAGCCAACCTGGGCAGGAAAGTCTGTGAGACTCTTACCTCCAATTAACCACCAGAAAACTGGGAGTGGTGCTTTGGCTCAAAGTGGTAGAGCACCACCCTTAAGTAAAAATGCTCAGAGACAGCACCCAGGTCCTGAGTTCAAGTCCCAAGACCACCACCACCATTACCACCACCACCACTACCACTAACAACAACAAAAGAAAGTAAAAAGAATGTGTAATTTTGAAATTAAAAAGAAAAAAATTAAGCCAGGTTCCGGTGGCTCACAGCTGTAAACCATTCAGGAGGCTGAGATCTGAAGATTTTAGTTGGAAGACAAGTTGAACAGGAAAGCTGTGAGACCCTTTACCTTCAGTTAATCACCAAAAAGCCAGATGTAGAGTTGTGGTTCAAGAAGTAGAGCACCAGCCTTGAGTGAAAAAGCTAAGGGACAGAGCCTAGGTCCTAAGTTTAAGCCCATTACTGGTGTGTGTGCATACATGCGTGCATGCACACACAGAGACACAAATAAACAAATAATATAGAAACTTTCAAGCCCAAAAGTAAAGTATAAATGTCTATGATCCAAGGAATAAATGTATTATGATGAATCACGATACTTAGATAAAAATTTAGAGGAGTCTGTACATTCCACGTGTTAACTTACTTAACCCTCAGGAAGGCATGTAGGTAAGTGCTAGTTGGTACTTCAGGTTGCTGATAAAGATTTTAATCATAAGAGTTAAACAACAAACAGAAAATGTGCTCAGACTTGTCTGCAGGAGAGTCCTGGAGATGAGAGTCAACAGGCAGCCTGGCTTCAGGTGTAGCAGATTTCATCCAACTGGGGCCAAGGGAAGCAAGTTCGGTCCTGCTGGGTGAGCACAGCGGCTTGCCCTCAGTATGGATTCTGGAGACAGAGGAGTGGTTATTTGTGTATTTCTTTTTTTCAATAATGTATCATTAAATGTTTTTTTTTGCTATTTTTCTTATGCTTCCCAAGAAAAAAGTATGTTTAATGTTGTTGGATTTCTCAACTAGAGAAACCTGAACTTTTGTTTCATCTGGGCCCAAATTTCTGTATCTAAGTTGAATCAGAAAAATTTCCCTAGTAAAATAGTAAAGAGGTGTTGTGTGTCTTTTATATAGTTGAATATAGTCTTTGTAGTTGTTCCTGAAAGATGTTTTGGTTCAAGCTATTTTGTTGGAATGCTTTATTTTGCTGTAGAGTAGATTCAAGTATTCGGATGAAAGTGCAGATCCATTTATTGCTTAGGTTCCTTTTTTTCTTGGGTGGTGGTGTTTTTTTGTAAATGGTGTTTTAAAATAAAAACTAAACTTAGGTATACATAGTCAGTTCCCTGTATCTGCAGTTCTGCTTCTGTGACTGATGCAGCATAACAATATTTACATTGCATTTGGCATTACAAACAATCTAGAGATGATTTAAAGCTTACAGGAGGATGTAGGTTCTGGTATACTGTGCAATTTTATATAAGGGACTTGAACATCCACAGATTCTATTTTCGTTTGGGATCGTGGAACCCATCTCCATGGATACAAGGGAGACAGTATCTCCATGGAACTTTATCAGTATTGCACTGGGGTTTCCCTCTCCTTCTGTCCTTGACTCTTTTCTAAACCAAATCAGTTGTCTGTCCCCTCGCTCATCGTGTTCTGCTCCCCCTGCTTCTTTGGCCTGAGTTCTTTTTTGTAGCTAGTTCTAACTTACACTCTGCCGGATTTATTTTGGCAATGCAGCTAAAAATGCTTTCTTCTTCTTTTTTTTTTTTCCACTGAAAATGTGTTTTGGTGTTTTCTCAGAAGAATAAGCTTTTGTTCTTCAAAGTTAAATAAATCGAATTGCGCTCAGTCTCCAGATGCCACGGCCTTGTCTTCATTGTCAATGGTCTTTTGCCTTTTTATAAAAATGATCCTGTAGTAAACATTCTGGATTCTATGCTCCCTTTTCCATTTCATGATTATATCTTCTTACAGACATTGATTTGATTTACACAGCAATATTTCACTCATCTTTATTTTTAGCTAAACATTTAACTTTTTTTTGCCCTAGGTCTGTTTAGATTGGGGGGAGGTTGTTTTAGTATTATTATTTACTATTGATGGATTGAATTCTTTAAAAGTTCTGGATAGTTTGTAAATCTTTTGTTCCCTTGTTCCCTTCTGTAAGTTAGTTCTCTGTTTTTTTACAGTGTTGGGATTAAACCCATGGCCTCATATATGATAGACAAATGCTTTTCCACTGAGCAGTCACTAACTCTATACTGTCATTTCCTTTGTTATGAGAAGCCTTATACTTTTTTTTGTGTTTTTGAGGTCCAACCTAAAAAATGCTTGCCAGATCAAGGTCATGGAGATTTTCCTCTGTTCTAGTTTTGTTGTTGTTGTTGTTGTTTTGTTGGTTGTGGGGCCTGAACTCTGGGCCTGGATGCTGTCTCTCAGCTCTTCAGCTCAAGGATGGCACTCTACCACTTGAGCCACAGCACCACTTCCAGCTTTTTCTGCTTCTGTAGTGCTGAGGAACGAACCCAGGGCCTCATGCATGCAAGGCAAGCACTCTACCACTGAGCCACCTTCCCAGCCCCTCTTCTAGATGTTTTATAGTTACTTTTTAAATCAAACTAAAAGTTATTTGATTTTAAGTGACTTTATCATTAAAACTATTTTATAAATTATTTTGGTGAATAAAAATTGGATCTTAAAGACTGTAGCTTTAATTTTTAACTGTGTCACTTAGCTACCAATGGTTTTTAGGAATGTTTCTTAACTTAATCCTTGATTTCCTCATCTTTAAAATGGGGTGTTGTTGGACTTAAATGGCATGATATATCTGTAGTTCTTAAGTTCAAGCTTTGACACAGAGTAAATTATGTACTGAATATTCGCTGCTATCAGTTTTTTCATGCCATTTTGAGTGGTCTTAGTTAGGAGGAAATTTTCCAAGCATTGTCTGGGACCTCCTGTTCTTTTTTAAAATGTCTTAAGACCCTAACAGCTTTGTATTCTCAGGACATCTCAGAATAGTATTTTGGCCAGGCACACATTTCTCACACCTGTAATCTCAGGAGGCTGAGATCTGAAGATCACAGTTTGAAGCCAGCCCAGGCAGGAAAATCTGTGAGACTTTTTTTTTTTTTTTAATCTCCAATAAACTACTTAGAAAAAGCCAGAAGGGCAGCACTGTAGCTCAAGTAGTAGAGTGCTGGCCTTGAGCACAGAGAGATTTTGGGAAAGGGCCCAGACCCTGAGTTCAAGACCCAGGGCTGGGAGAAAATACAAAAAGAAATATCCCTTAGGATACAGTTTAACCCATTGCAACAATGAGATGTACAAGACGCTATGTTGAAAAATGAACTTTACAATTTAGGCCAGGGCGGGGGAGGGAGGGGATGAGGAGGGGGAGAATGTAGTTGTGGTGATGGGAGGGAAGGGACGGGAGGGGAAAAACAAAGGAGAAGGCAACAGTGCTTGCTCTTGTGATTGTAATCCCTCTGTACAGTATTGTCACAATAAAAAACTTATTTGAAAAAAAAAAAAACTATCCCTTAGGAATTTGAGCCATTTTCTTGCATGCGTTAAGGAAGCCTTAGTACTAGCTCCTTACTAGAGGTAGAATCAAATTAAGATCTGGGGGTTGGGCTGACGTCATCTTTTTTTTTTTTTTTTTGGTTCAGGTCATGGGACCTGAACTCTGGGCCTGGGTGCTGTCCCTCACCTCTTCAGCTCAAGGCTAGCGCTCTACCACTTGAGCCACAGCGCCACTTCGGCTTTTTTCTTTTTGCTTATGTGGTGCTGAGGAATCGAACCCAGGGCCTCTGGCATGCAAGGCAAGCGCTCTATCACTGAGCCACCTTCCCAGCCCCTGATGTCATCATTTTATGCAAGGTCCACTCACAGTTGGGCATTCGTGGGGTAGGGGGACAGTGGGAGTGGGGTTGAGTTGGTCTACTGCTAAGATTTTCGAACTCTCTTTCCTCTTGAGTATCTGCACCAATGAGAAGTTGACTCTCCTGACCCCCATCCATCTCTATCCGCTTTCCTTTGAGCTTGGTGACAGGGACTCTGGAGGTTTCTTGGGCCCCTCTGAGGTTGTACTTTATTTGCATTCTCTGAATTAAAAACTCTTTGGAGGTGGGGTTGGGAAATGGTAGGCTCTGATAGTTTTTATTTCCCCCTGCCCCAGTTTACAGGTTCCCCCTCCCCACCCCAGCCTTCAAGAAAGACATTTTCAGCCAGTGGCTGGTGCCAATAATCCTAGCTGTTCAGGAGGCTGAGAGCTGAGGATCAAGGTTAAAAGCCAGCCTGGGCAGGAAAGTCCATGAGACTCTTTATCTCCAGTTAGCCACCAGAAAACTGGAAGGGGCTCTGTGGCCCAAAGTGTTGGGGCGCCAGCCTTGAGTGAAAAACCTCAGGGACAGTGTCTAGGCCCTGAGTTCAAGCCCTACAACATACCAAAAAAAAAAAAAGACATTTATTTTCAAAAAATGAACAAGATTTCAGATATGACAGAAGATCCTTATTTGGATTTACTGATCTTTTAGGAGCAGTGTGCTCAAACTTTATATAAAGAAACCACCCACGGTAAATAGGGTCTGGGTTTGAATCCAGACCTCTGGCTCCAGCCCATAGCCTTGCATGCTCACTCCAAGGTCTGTCAAGTATATTGCAAAACCTTCTGAATGGGACGTTCTAGTTTGTGATGGATCATGGCATTCCAGGGCTCCCATTCCTTGCCCTTGACTTTGTTATTTTCCGGATACAAAAGTCTAGCTCTGACATCTCACAAAGAGGAGACAAACACAATGGATTATCCATTCTCTTTCTTTCTAGATGATAAAATTTTATTGAAAAATTTCTCACATTTTTTTGCTTCCCCCCCTTTTTCTTTTAGGACCATTTCTGTATTTCTTCATCTCTGGCCCCTGTAGCTCTTTCTGTGCTGGAATGTTCTGTATGAGTCCTTTCTGGAAGTAGCCTCCGCCCGCCTTCCTTGATGTGACTTTGGCCGGCTATAAATATGAATCTGCACTGCTGGGTTGTGGCATTACTGTGCGTGATGAGTTCTTTCATTAGAATTGAAAGCTTGACTTGTGCCATTTAAGGGGATACTGTTTTAGTTCCAGTTCAGCTAAGGAGATGATGGTACCCAGCTCATCTTGCTTAGAAAACCAACCTTAATCCTGTGTCTCATTTCTCCTCTCTATAACTACTGCAAGTCACTCATGAATGTAACTAGTAACAGAAGAAAGACAACATGGGTGATATTGGAATACTTACCTTAAACTGCTATCCCAGGATTATATGCTATCATAGATGAAGACATTTAGATATCTTAAGATGCCTTGAATTTAAATGTAAGGGCATCTTAAATTAAGACATCTCTATAACCTTTTTGGCAGTCCCATGTTTCTTCCAGCTGGCTTTGTCTGGATTTGTTTGGCAGATGGGAGGTTTTATTCCTAAGTCTGTCTAGCTGCCACTACTATATCTTACATACCTCTGGAATCTGAGTCTGTTCTGGTGGTCCCAGCCTTCAGGAAAGAGGCTGGCTACAAAGTTTTAATTAAATGAAATTCTTGTAAGAAGTCTTTTGGAAAGTATAAAATGGTTTCACAAGTATAGAGATTTTGTACATTATAAATACAGATATTACAATGGCTAGTTGCTGCAAAGTGGTAAAATTACAACAGAGAACACTCAGGATCCAACAAAAATCTAAGGGTTTTGTCTTAAGCTCAGTAGTAGAAAACTTGCTTCATCTATGTGAAGCCCTGGGTTCCATCTCCAGCATTGCCAAAGGGGGAAAAAAACCCAACCAACCAATCAACCAAACTCCCCAAATAAAACCAAACAGCAAAACAAAACCAGACCAGACCACAAAGCGTTCTTAACTCTCCAGTGTTATCTTGGGCAAGCTGCCCTAGGAACTCAGTGGATACCCAGGGCTATTCTTTGTGGCATTACTGGGCAGATCCGGATGCCTTTATCTGGTTCATACAAAGTTCTGGTTATTGAAGATGCTCACTGTACACTTCACAGCCTGACAGCACATGGGGAGGAGTTAAAAGAACAAGTTTTCTTTGAAGAAGTGATACAGGAATCTCAGGGAGAATGCCTGTCTGTCATCCTTAGGCATGTGAAGATACCTTCAATCTCCTCAAACTATTGCTTTCTCAAGCTTTTGATAATGAGGTCCCTGTGGAATTGTGGTACTTACATTTCCTTATGCTGGTTTCTAGAAGAAATGAATGAGAGGGAGGGATGAGGTGGGCTGGGGCCGGAATGTGTAAAGAAGGAACGTGGTTATATGTGTTTAAATATTCAGACACATCAGTATGTGATGCGATGTTTCCTTTTGTTAATGCTTTCCCTTTTCTGTTTTCTCTTGCAGGCATGGCTTTCTTTGAAGAATTCAAAGAAACGGAAAACTTGAAAGATATGAAGTTGCTTCGGGAATATTTTTATATATTTTATATAGTTTCTATGAAGTCAGCAGGCATGCAGATAAAACCTAAAAGGGAATTTTTTTTTTTTTGGCTATACTGCTGGATACAGAATTTGGTTTGCTTTGAAACAAGTTCTGGTTTAACAAGTCTAATGGAAAATGTATTAGTAGATTCCAGGGAAGGAAAGAGCTCATTGGTGATCTACTGTTCATGCTAGCCACCACTCCTGTTAGTGGCCTGTCCTGCGCAGCGTGTACACGCTCCGCTCCCCCAGGATCACTGGGGAAAGGACGGGCGGGGAGGGGACGGGGGAGGTACAAAGGAGCCTCTCTCTCTCTCTCTCTCTCTCTCTCTCTCTCTCTCTCTCTCTCTCTCTCTCTCTCTCACTCTCAGCTTTCCCCAAGATCACTGGAGAGGGGAGGGGAGGGGGAGCACAGAGGAGTTACACACACACACACACACACACACAGAGGGGAGGGGAGGGGGAGCACAGAGGAGTTACACACACACACACCCACACACCCACACCCACACCCACACCCCTAGCTTTCCATGGCAAAGATCCTGTAGTCACACACACACACACACACACACACACACACACACACACACAGCTTTCCATGGCAAAAGGCCCTTGGAGATCCTGTAGTCTTGTGCTGAGAAGATGATCTCCTAAGAGATCCTGGAATCAGATGGGACCAGACACTTGACTGGATTCCTAGACCAACACTTCAGCTTAATTAACTCCAGCGGCCAATGCTGTTTCTGAGTCACTTACAATATATTGAGAAATTCCTGTTTTTCGTAACTTAAGCTAAGCAACTCATTTAGTCCAATGAATAAACAGAGAGAAATGGTTTCAAGTCACTAAGAGGGAAAAAGAAAATATTCTCATTTGACAACCAGAGGCCAAAACAATGCACTGAAGCAAGATGAGCCGGTAGAGAACTCAGTGTATCCTGCCTTCCGTCTTGTGGCTCATGCTCAGTATTTCAAAGACTCTGTGGCTTCTTTCTGTTAAGGTTGAGACAGTCGCTTCCCTCCCTCCCTCCCTCCCTCCCTCCCTCCCTTCGTAGATGCCCCCCTTTCCTTCCCTTCCCTTCCCTTCCCTTCCCTTCCCTTTCCCCCCCTTCCCTTCCCTTCCCTTCCCTTCCCTTCCCTTCCCTTCCCTTCCCTTCCCTTCTTCCCTTATCCCTTCCTTCCCTCCTTGCCTTCCTCCCTCTCTCCTTCCTTCCTTTTCCTCCCTCTACCTGTGTCTCTCTCTCCTCCTCTTTCTATGTCTTCCCTTCCACTTTCCATCTCTCCAGCTGGAAGAACACAGAAGAGCAGATAGTATTTAGGTCAGTCTGGGAGTGGGGCTGTGGGAACGCTCTAAGACCTGCCTTCCAGGTGTTGGTGCCATGCCTTGGGTACTCTTTTATCTCAAAGAGAAAAGGCACATTTGCCATTTAGCACTTCCAAAATGACTTTCATAAAAATAGACTCCAAAGTATTTACTGTCATTATACTTACTTGGTTCTGTTTTTGTCATCACACTAAAAAATTCTAACCTTTTAAATGAATGATAGATTTTATTTGATGTGAATTCTTGCTGCCCACTCGTAAACAAGATGTGTGGCTACAGAGTAGAAGTCAGTATGGATGTAAATCTCAGTGTAGACCTGAAAGTATCATAGGAGTTTTAAGGGTCTGTGTAAATACTAGATGTGAGATCTAGGCCAATACTTTTACTTAAAAAAAACATATATACATATAAAAATGAGCCCTCTAAATGGTGAGGCATAAATTGTAAGATATTCTTCAGCTTTAATTTTTTAAAAAATTTTACTCAAGTCAGAGCACTTTTTAAAAAAAACAGCAATACAACAGGCAAGAGAATACTCAAAAATATTTAAAATTGTATTTATATGAAGAGTACGTTTTAAATATTTTTCTATTACTTGAGCAGTTTGTATATGGCTAGTTTCCAAATATTGCCAAAAGTTAAGCTATTCAATATTTCCAACACATCAGCTTTTTACTGGTTTATACTAGCTGAGGAGAATTCTTCAGTGTTCCCAAAGCAACTGATGTTTACAGGTCTTGTCATTTTCTTTTCCTCCCTGAGAAGGGCTGAGGATCCGGGATGAAAACACTAATGATGGATAGCTTCTTGGCGTGATCAATGGACTGGCTACCACCTTGGTGTAAACATTCGTACAGGAAAAACTTTTTCACCCCTTTTTGAGTGTCAAATGTATTTTTAACTTGTCTGGTTTGTACTTTGGCTTCTTTTGTACTACCAAAGCAGAGTTAAAAATAAAAAAAAAATAAGTTGAACACGTGTTGTGAATGACCCATGTGGTAGTATAATTTACCAAGTTTGCGCGCTCTCTCTCTCTCTTTCTCTCTCATGGGGGCCTAGGCATTGTCACTGAGCTTTTTTGCTCAAGGCAAACACTCTCCCACTTTGAGCCACAGTTCCACTTCTGGCTTTTTTTAGGTGGTTAATTGGAGATAGGAGTCTCGTGGCTTTTCCTGGCTGGGCAGGACTGGCTTCGAACCGTGCATTCCTCAGATCTCAGCCTCATGACTAGCTAGGATTACAGGCATGCACCCTGGCCTGAGCTTTTACAGGACCTAATTTCTTAGGCCTTGACTTATCAGGTCACCACTTGGCTATTATTCACTGGATTTTTCCATTGAGATTAACTTTAGATATTAATATGAGCTATAAAACAATGTAAAATTCATTTGTTCCTTGAATTCATTTCTCTATTGCATGAACACTTCACGTTACCACAACAATCAAACCCAAGGTTTTAACATGGGTCTGGTGCAGTTGATTAGATTACATTCGAGGCTCATTAGTTTCACAAGCGCCTCTTTTTTATTTTCATTTTATTTTATTTATTTATTTTTTTGTGAACATACTGTACAGAGGGGTTACAATTACATGGGCAGGATAATGCGTACATTTCTTATCAAGCATTGCAGCCTCCTTTGTTTACCCTTCACATCCCTTCCCAGCCTTCCCCCCCACACCCCTCCAATCCTCCCCCGCTTTCCTCCCCCACCAACGTTGTAAAGCTCGTTTTGGACATGATAACTTGTACTTATTGTTGCAACAGGTCCACCTGTATCCTTAAACGACTTGTTTTTCCCCATCTCTTCCACAAATTATACTGACATCAAATATAGTGAAAGCAGGGGTTATACTGTGGGGGAGGGACATACAAAGCAACAAAGAGATAATCTTATAAATGCGTTAGAAACACATGCATGAAAGAAAAAACATTAAAATACATATCTAAGGGTTCATTTTCCTGACATCACATTATCTGACCTTTTCCGCTTGACTCATATTGCATATAAGGGAAACCATGGGACCTATGTTTCTTTGGGCCTGGCTTACTTCACTTAATATAATTTTTTCCAAGTTTTTCCATTTCCTAACAAATGGGGCAATGTCATTCTTTCTGATGGAGGCATAGAATTCCATTGTGTATATATACCACATTTTCTTGATCCATTCATCTACTGAGGGGCATCTGGGTTGGTTCCATATCTTAGCTATGGTAAATAATGCTGCAATAAACATTGTTGTGCTGGCAGCTTTAGTGTGGTCTTGTTAAGCGCCTCTTTTTCTTTCCAGAATCTCCCTAACTCTCCTGTGACCTTTGTTTTCAGATTGTTTTAAATGTTTATATTTTATTGATGTTATAAAGGTGATCTATGGAGCAGTTACAGTTACATGAGTCAGGTAAAGAGTACATTTCTTTTTGGACAATTTCACCCCTTCCCTTTACTCCCTCCCAGTTTTTCCTTCCCATCCCCACCCATAAGTTGCATAGTTCAATTTTAATATAGTGTCCAGTGAGTCACACTGTTTTTCAGATCTTGATGCTTTCTGGTCTTCTTGGTTCGCTTTGTAGAAAGCTCTGTTACTTGCAGGTTATTGCCTCTTTCTCAGGATTCCATGGAGGTTTTGCATTAGAAAAAAGATACTCTGTGGGTGGTGTGTCACAGTGAAGATTTGTGACACTGCACAACATTTGGTTCCTCTGTTTGGTCAGTGCCGTGTCCACAAAGTTTACTTGGTAAAGTTGCTGTTTTTGCCTTGGTAAATGAATAAACATTTGAGAGGGAAGACTTAAAAATGAGGCCACTAGCCTTGTGCTTGAACTTCCACCTAGTAATGTCACCATCTGTATTCCTTTCCTGGGCTTCCTTTAATTAATGATGTAAGACTGGGTGGCCTGAGACAGCCATTTACTGTTGGACAGTTGAGGAGAGGGCCAGAGTTGAAGATCAAGTCAGCTCCTTAAATTCCTGTGGTGGCTAGCTGTTCATGGTTTAACGCAGCTGTATCTCAAGATCTGTTTACATGGCCCTCTTCCGTGTGTGTGTGTGTGTGTGTGTGTCCCCTTTTTTTGTCCTTATAAGGCCACCAGACACTGGGTTTAGGATCCACTGCAATCCACTGTGACTTCATCCTAGCCTGATTACATTTTCAGAGACTAAATAGGTTCATGGTTCACAGGTCCTGGGAGTCTTGTGGATGCTTTTCCACCTACTGTGCCATCCTGGGGGGGGGGAGGGTCTTGCCTACAGTTACTGCTATGATAAGAACTCAAGTGGGCACTATTATTTTTTACATTTTTTCCTCCTATGGTCAGGAAACCCCGGATCTTTGTTTCTACAACATTTTTGAGTATTTACTTAACCCAACCATACATGTGAAGTAGTTTGATGATGCTCACTGGTAACAAACAACGTGATGAGCTTGAGGACAGTGTGTTTGTACTGTTCCTGTCCCCATCTTTTCAGTATTAGATTTAAAAACTAGTTGTTTGTCCAGATCCTTTGGTAATCCGCTTGCTTCCACTTAGCTGTGAGATTCATTTGTAAGATAGGGTCATTTGTCACGATCTGCATTCCAACATTCTGGCAAAAAAAAAAAAAAAAGCAAGCTTTGTTCTTTTGTTGTCTCATGGAGTTCAGACTTGGCATTTACAGGTGCGTTAGTGTGTGTGCATGCACGCAGGTTCCCTTTGGTAATAAAATGTTCAGTAGTAACTTCTGAAGAGGACGTGGAAACACTGACATAGTTTTGCTTCACAAAATCCTTAAGATCCAGAAGATACACAGATACACACAGCACAAGGAAGATGCTAGAAATTCTCCAAATTCTGTGACTTGGTGGTGACAGTCCTTTTTTGGTTGTTGTTGTTTTAATCTCAGCCCTTCTGATATTCACATTAGTAAAAGTCCAGTGCAGAATGGGTGGTGCTGAGCTACTATTTAGGGGTCACCTTTGCTCAGCTTTAGACAGAAGT